CCACGCCCCCCGTGCCCCCCGCCGCTGTCCCCACACAGAGGCCCTGATGGCGTCGGGGCCGGCGAGCCGCTCCGAGGACGAGGAGCCGCTGGCGGGGCCCAAGCGCAGCTCGTCGCAGGCGCCGGGCGCCGTCCCCAAGCGCCGCAGCTCCTCGCGGTAGGTGCCGGGCTGGGGGGGGACAATGGGGGGGCGCTGGGTGGCACCGCGCGGTCCCCATGTCCCCGTCCCCGCCAGGTTCATCAAGCGCAAGAAGTTCGACGATGAGCTCGTAGAGAGCAGCCTGGCCAAGTCGTCGAGCCGCGCCAAGGGCGCCGTCGAGGCCGGCCGCTGCTCGGGCAGCGAGCCTTCCTCCAGCGAGAAGAAGAAGGTGAGGGGGCCGTGCAGGCCGGGGGGGGCGCCCGGTGCGGGGGTGGCACCCTGAATAACCGCCCCCGCCGTCCCGCTGCACCCAGGTGGCCAAGGCCGTGTCGGCCCCCGCCGCGGCCAGCCCGGTGCCGCCCGCCGGCCTCGCCAAGCGCATGAAGAAGAGCAAACAGCCCCCGCAGGTGACCAAGGACCTGGGCCGCTGGAAAGCCGCCGACGACCTGCTGCTCATCAACGCCGTGCTGCAGGTGACGCCGCGGGGACAGGTCCCTGCCGGGGCCCCCCAGGCGCCCCCGGCTGCTTGTGCGGCCGGCGAGGGGGACAGCTTGGGAACACGGTGACGCCGGCGGCTCTGTCCCCAGACCAACGACCTGAGCTCTGTGCACCTGGGGGTGAAGTTCAGCTGCCGCTTCAACCTGCGCGAGATCCAGGAGCGCTGGTACGCGCTGCTCTACGACCCCATCATCTCCAAGTGAGTCGGGGGGCGGCCGGGGCGGGCGGCGGGGGCCGCGGGGAGGGTCTCACGGTGCCCCCCTGCCCCAGGCTGGCCTGCCAGGCCATGCGGCAGCTGCACCCCGAGGCCATCGCCACCATCCAGAGCAAGGTGCTGTTCAGCAAGGCCGAGGAGCAGCTGCTCAGCAGAGTGGGCTCGGTGAGGAGCGCCCGCCGGGGGGCCGCGGGGGTGTTCCCTGGCGTCCCCACGGGTGACGTGTCCCCCTCTCACCCTCCGCAGAGCAGCCAGCCCACGCTGGACACCTTCCAGGAGCTGCTGCACAAGCACCCGGACGTCTTCTACCCGGCGCGCACAGCCCGGGCGCTGCAGCTGCACTGGCAGCTCATGAAGCAGTATTACCTGCTGCACGACCAGACCGGTGAGGCCCGCGGAGACGGGGGCCTGTACCCCCTTCCTGTACCCCCTCCTGGGCTCCCCCCAACCCCCTTGTCCCTGTCCCCTCCAGTGCAGCCGCTGCCCAAGGGGGACCAGGTGCTGAACTTCTCGGATGCTGAGGACATGCTGGATGACAACAAGCTCAAGTGAGCGATGGGCCTGGGGACATGGTGGGGCTGCAGCGAGGACCCCCGCTCGGGTGGGTTTAGGTGCGGTTTGGAGTGCTGGTTTTTCACTAACTCACCTTTTTTTTGCCCCATCATCTGTCCTGGGCACCTCTCTCAACTTGCTGTTTCTCCGTGGCCCCTGGCGGGCTCCTCTGGGACTTCCCTCCACAGGGATGTGCGGGACGAGGTGCTGGAACACGGTGAGCGCAGCCCCCAGCCCAGCCCGGGCCGCTCCGAACCCAGGGGATCTGGCACGGGGATGAGATTCCCGGGGCTGGCGCCGCTCACCCTCCCGCCCCGTCCCTAGAGCTGACAGTGGCCGACCGGCGCCAGAAGCGGGAGATCCGGCAGCTGGAGCAGGAGCTGCACAAGTGGCAGGTTCTGGTCGACAGCATCACAGGTACCGAAAAGAGCTGGGGAGAGGGGAGGTTTTGGGGAGGAGGGAGGCTTGGGGGAGGTTTTGGGGAGGGGGGCGCCCATTCCTGCATCCATCTCGCTCCGTTTCCCAGGAATGAGCTCCCCGGATTTCGACAGCCAGACGCTGGCCGTGCTGCGCGGCCGCATGGTCCGTTACCTCATGCGCTCGCGGGAGGTGAGTGCGGGCGCCACGTCCTCTCCTGGGGGGGGCGGGGGAGCCTCTTGTACGTCCCCCTACCCCGATGCTCCCCCCTCACCTTCCTCCTCCTCCTCCTCCTGCAGATCACGCTGGGCAGAGCCACCAAGGACAACCAGATCGACGTGGACCTGGCGCTGGAGGGGCCGGCCTGGAAGATCTCCCGCAAACAGGGTCAGGGCGGCGGAATGGGGCAGGGGCTGTGCCCCCCCCACACACTTCATTGACCCCCCGCTTTTCTTCTCCCCTGCCTCCCTGCAGGCATCATCAAGCTGAAGAATAACGGGGATTTCTTCATCGCTAACGAGGGCCGGCGCCCCATCTACATCGACGGGCGCCCCGTGCTCGGGGGCAACAAGTGGAAGCTCAACAACAACTCGGTGGTGGAGGTGAGTGCCGGGGCGGGTGGCGGGGGGGGGAACACGTGGGGGTCCCCGTGCCGCTCATCCCCCTCCGTGCCCCCCCCGCAGATCGCCAGCCTGCGCTTCGTCTTCCTCATCAACCAGGACCTCATCGCCCTCATCAAGGCGGAGGCGGCCAAAATGGCCCAGCAGTGACGAGGGGCTGGGACTGCCCTGTGCCCCCTGCTCCCAGCCCCATAGGGAGAATGGGGGGGCCTGGACCCCCTCCCTGGCAGCTGGGGGTTCCTAGAGACCCTCCCAGACATCTGGGGGTCCCTGAGCCCCCTCGCTGGCAGCTGGGGGTCCCTGGGGCCCTTTGATGGGAGCCGCAGCCCCCAGATGTGCTCTGCCTGGGGACTGCTGGGCTCTCTCTGCCCCCTCTGCCCCCCGCAGCGCCCAGCTTTTCGCCTGGTTCTGGGGGCTTCTCGCTGCCAATAAAGTGTTTTACAGCAGCCCCCGCGTTGGCATCACTGGGGGCAGGGACATCCTTAGACAGCGCCGGGCCTGGCCGCTCCGGGGCTGGTTTTTACCTCCTTTAATTCCAAAGCAGAGTGCGCCATATACCCATATACCTCCCAACACACCCGCATCCCCCCTACCCCTCCACACAGCCCCCCCTGCACCGCCCAGTGCTCAGGCCAGCAGCTGGGTGACTTCAGCAGAAAACCAAAAATCCCACCCCCAAACAAGGGCGCTTGGATGGTTAAAGCTCAAAGTTGGGTTCCGTTTATTCACTGGCAAAATTGTTCAGGTGTCGAAAGACAACTTGAAACAGAAGGAAAAAAGAGGAGGAAAAAAGAAAGAAAAAAAACAAAACGAGGCCTCAAAGGGGTGGTTTGAGACAGGGGCAGCCGAGCTCAGAGGCTTCTGCGGCCCCAGCTCCCCGAGCAGCAGCAGCCCAAGGAGCTTATTGGTTTTTTTTCCCCAATTTGAGGCACTTTTTGTGCTGCTGCCGCAGGGCAGGGCGGGCAGCAGCAGCACGAAGGCACCGGCCGGCGCGGTCACCATGGTCATTGTCCTTATCCACACAGCGACGTGGCACTGTCGCAATTTTGGACTGGTATCACCTAGGATTAGTTCTGCTCATTGATAGTGCTAGAAATTTAATTCTGGGAGGCGAGAAAGAGGCTGGACAAGAAGGGGAAGGGAGACAAACAAAAATTCCCAACCAGAACGCCCAGAGGGGCTTGAGTTAGGGACAAATTGTGAGGGTCCCCCGGGCCCTGGCACTGTCTGGAAGCCAAGGGGGAGGATTCCTGTCAGTTTTCCAAGCTGGGGCAGCCCCGGTGGATTCCCAAAACTTCCCCGGCTCCACCCGGACTGACGAGGCAGGTTGGGGGCCCAGCCTCCTGTGCCCCAGCGGCTGCCGTCATTGCCAGCATGAGCGAGAGGCTGGGACGCGGGGCTGGCTTGGCCTGAAGCAGAAGGGAAAAAGAGGAAAAACAAGGAAAAAAGGGAGCGATTGGGGGGAACTGGGGGCATCTCTGCCCTGAGGCAGGTGGGATGGAGCGGGCAGAGGCTGCAGTGGAAGGGCCCCCAGCGGCCCCGAGAGGCCCCAACCCAATGGATGGGGATGCACAGATGGCAGAGATGAACGTGAAGCCCCAACGGGGGCAACGGAGAGAGGAGGACAAGTGGCACAAACCCCAAACCAGACCCCCATAGTGTAAACTTTCCTTCGTTAACAGCTCCAGCTCGGCCTTTCCGATCCTTTCGGAGCGACGGTTCCCGCGGGAAGGAGCATGGGGCTCTCAGGAGTTCGCTGCCCGCCCGGGACTCGCTCGGCGTTTGCGCTGGGGGAGCCCCCGCGTTTCTGTGCTGGGGGCAGAGGGCGAGGGGCGGCCGGAGGCCGCGGCAGGGCCGGGCGGAGGCTGCAGGGGAGGCTCTTGCTGCTTGCCGGGGCGCTGCCGGCTCGTGCTGCTGTAGTGCCCGGGGGCCGGAGGGCCGATGTGGCGCTGGCCCTGGCCCCTGGCCCCAGGTCCTGCTCTCCGAGTCCCCTGGGAAGCCTGAAACAGAAGATGGGGCACCAGTGAGCAAGGACAAGACCCCGATGGCTCCGAGCTCCTGCTGCCCCAGCCCCAACTGCCCTCCCAGGCAGCACCTTCTGCTCCCGGGGAGAGGTGGAAAAGCAAAAACCCTCCCAGGCCTCCTTTGGAGCAGGACCATTAAACCAGATCCGCCCAAGGCAGCAGTTCCCGACAGGGAGGAACCCGCTGCAGAAGCGGCACGAGGAGCCCCAAAGCAGGGAGCAAATTCCCCCCGACTTTCCAGCGTCGGCACTCCAGGTCCGAGGGCAGGTACCTCTCGCTGCGGCTGTGGAGAGCGGCCGGCGGCGGCTGCAGGGGCCAAGGGCTTCGTGCTGAGGCTTGGGGCAGAGGCTGACGCGGCGGCGCAGGGAGCGCAGGGCTCGCCGGGGCTGCTCGGGGCCGCCACGGAGCCGCAGCGCGACCTGCTCGAGTAGCTGTTCTTGGGGTGGGAAACTGCAAGAGAAAGAAGGCCCAAATGGGGGGTTTGCAAACAAATGGGGTGGATCTGCAAATAAACCGGGGGAGGTTGCACACAGGAGCCCAGATAATTCAGCCTCTCAGGGCTGCTTGGGCCCTACGGGCTGCAGCAGCAGCATGATGGAGCATGGATACGAAGGCCCAAGGGGCTCAACAGAACCAAAGGGAACAGGGCCCCGCACCAGAGCTCAGCCACAACAGCCCCGCAGGGACAGCCGCCCTCTGCACAGGTGACACCACCACCGGCCACAGCGGCAAGGGGAGCCCTGGCTCCCACCGAGAGGCTCCGGAGCCCTGCGGGCCTCTGCCCAGGCCCTCCGGGGCCAGCCCGGGGCTCGCGGCGGCCCCGCTCACCTTGCCCGAAAGAGGCGATGCTCTTCCTGAGCGCGTCCAGGTCGCACGTGAACCGCGCCACCCTGCCCAGCTCCTCGTCATACTTGCGCTCGCTCACAAAGTGCTGCCCAGGAAAACAACAACAACATGCACGGGTTAGTTCAGGGCCGGACAACGGCAGGATCGGTGTTCTGCTTTGGCTCCTAACAGGTAGCTGTGTTGGCACAGCTTGACAACAAGTCCTGGGAAGGCAGGATCTCGTCCCCACACAACAGCAGGATGAAATGAGTGTGAAGCGAGTGCAGGCCTCTGCTCTGGGTGCTTTGAGCAGCAACAGTTCTCTGCCTTGATCTAGTTCTGGGGTAGCAGTGACCATAGCCAGAACAGTGGTCACGGTGGTTTGGTTTTCAAACGAGATTTGAAATGAGCCTTTGTGGCGCTTTGCAGTGCCGTGTTGGGTCAGAAACGGGGGCGCTGGGAAGTTGCCCAGCCTATAGAAATAACGAACCCAATGCAGCAGCTTGTTCCGGATCAGGTGGGAGGTCAGCGGGGGCCCTGGCTGCCCCTCGGGGCCGGGAGCTCACCTTGATGTCGGCCCTGAGCTCCACCAGCTGCTCCTCCGACATGCGCGTGGCCGCGTCGCTCAGCTTCCGCAGCGCCTCCGCCTTCCTCTGCCGGCTCCCCAGGATTTGCACTGCAAAGCAGAGCCCAGCTGCAGAGCTCAGCCCAGCGCAGACGCCCGAGCGGTAAAGGCAGCGGAGGCAGCTGTGCAGCAGCCCCGGCTCCGCGGCCGGCCACGAGGCGGGAGCCGAGCTCAGAGCCAACTCGCCCACACGAGCAGCATTAGTAAAAATACTGCGTTTCTCGGCCCCGCCGCCTACGGCGCCTCTTTGGGCTTCTGGAACCTCAGGGTTCCGTGTTCCTGGGGCAAGCGGCCCCTCGGAGCACTGCCCAGCGCCCCCCAGGCTGTCCCGAGGGTCTCAGAAACAGCCTTTGGTGCAGGATGCATCTGACAGCCCCCCGTAATGAGAGCACCGGCCTCGGGGACAAGGCAGGGCGGGGGACGTGTCAGCACCAAGCCTGCAGGTGGACTGACCTAAGCACCAGGCAAGTTACTTAGGAGCAATAGGAAGAGAAGGCAAAGTAGGGAGCTGCCCCCCGCGCTGTTCCCCTGAGCTCAGTGTCACCCACAGCTCCTCAGGCAGGTGTGGGTCAGGGCTTGGGAAAAAGTCTTACTTGCTTCGGCTTTCACTTTGTCCATCTCAGCCAGCAAGGCCACCTCGCGATCCATAAGGCTGCGGAGAAAAACACAGGAGGGAGAAGGCAGTAAATTATCAGGCGATTAATTATTCAGTGATAAACACAGGAGACAACAAAATTCTGCTCTGATGAGAGGGGGTTTTGGCGCCGACAGAGGGCAGTAAGGACCCGCTGGAGCTCACGCTGGAGCCAACTATCCACAGGGAAGCCGAGGGAGCCGGGGCGTGTGGGCACCAATTCCCTCCAGAACCTGCGGGTAGCTCGGGCAGGGCAGCAGGATGGTGCTTGGCCGGGGCAAAGACCATAGCCAGATGCTGCCGGGCGCCGTTCGGCCCCTCCGCTCCACGCTGCTCGCAGGCCGGAGCTGCCAGCTCGGCTGGGAACGCTACATTTAATACAGGGGGAAAAAATAAGTGCTCCTGTTCCCAGAGTAAACCACACCGCGGCCGCTGGGAAAGGGTCGGAGGAAAATCCGGCCACCGGACAGGCGGCTACTCAGCATGTGCTGCAAAGAGGCAGGAATTTGGGGCAGGAGCGGCGCATCCTGCGTGGCTCCGGAGGCTCCAGCAGCACCGGGGATGGAGGTGGTTGTGTCCAGGAGCTCCGGGGACAGGTGCTGGGAACACCGCACGCTCGGAAAGCCGTTCTTAGCCCCGGGAGGGGTTTCGGGCCGTGCCAAGGGCACCTGGAGGCACCAGCATCGTGGGCTCCACCTGCCCCACTCGAGCGCGGCTGTTGCCATGAGAGCAAAGTCCCCCGGGGCTCCGGGGCTGCAGCCTTCGTGCAAGCGGGAGTGTGAAGCGGGAGCAAATCCAGAAGGAATATTTATTGGAAGGAAAGGGGCAGCACCTGAAATGCAAACTCGGAGCAGCTCCTGCTCTTGCGCGTGTCAGAGGAGAGAAGCAAGATCAATTTAAACAATTCCCTGGACCAGCAGCTTTGACATTTGGCTGCTTCTGTTGATTTATCGCTCTGTCCATCTGCTTTTCCAGGGTCGGAATTGTTGCTGCTTTTGCAGTGCAGCGGGGGCCTCCTCCAGGTCAGGTGCTCTCTGCCCGACCGCGCAAACCCAACACATGTCAAGCGGCGCCGCTAATGAGACTTCACCTTGTTTGCAGCGCTCCCAAAGCGCCTCGACCTGTCTCTACAACACAGAAACCAAAGGGCAGAGCCTAAGGAAACACAGGCCGGGATGTGTCACCCGCAGGAACCCCCCAGAGCTGCCAGGGGGGTGCCAAAGGTGCCTGGATTTATTTAAGGGGAGCAAATGGCCTCGTGCGTCGCCTCCCCGAATGCACCGGCCTAGACCCAGCTCAGCCAGGGCACCCCAGCTCTGCTCTGCACATGGCCAGTGAATGCACCAGCATATCCGTGGGCACATTAGAGCTTATTTTGCTTTGCAATTTAATTTACTCAGCAAAACTGAGCTGGAGGTTTTCACCTGATTCTACATTGGGGCTCCTTGAGGAGCAGAGGGTCAAAGAGCTGTGCCCAAGCTGCACGCAATGAGACTGGGATCAGGTCCCAAAGGTCTTTTCCCTGCCTAATTTCTTGTCAAAGGAACGAGCTTCCTGAGGCAGAGCTCTTTCAGAAAGAGGTCCTGGCTTTGAGGCTGCTGCCTTGGGACAGGATCACACGCAGAGCGGAGAGCGCCTCTGCTCCTGGCACAAGCCTGAGGAAAGGACATTGTGCCCAAGGAAGAAGAGGGAGAGGCAGATAAATTAATAACTGAGAACTCCAGTGGGGAAGGCCGAGGAGTTCTGGAAGCCTCACTGCTATCCAAAGGATCTCTTGCACAGGTGAAAACAGCCCAAATTTACCTTTTAAATACCATGGTTTTGTTGACCAAACCTGCTCTTCAGCCAAGTTTTCCTCTGCTACGAAGCCAGCTAGGGAAGGGATTCCAGATTTAACTACTAGATTCTGCCCTGTGTTAAATAAATAGGCACAGTAAAGCAGAAAGACGTGCCAGCAGTATTTGCATCTGTGCAGGAAAAGGAAAGGAGGTTCCTGCCCCACGGAACCTGGCTCCGCGCTGCCGTTATCGGAGCCACACTGCCGAGCTGGAGCCCTCAACCTTCCCATGTGTGACACAAGGGTTTTATGGACGATCACACAAGCCAAAGGGCAAGGAATTATTTATAAAAAGTGGCTGCTTTAAGCGGAAGGATGACGTTTTTGCTTCTGGCAAGAGGTTTGCGCAGGTATTTTAACCGTGCGGGGAGGCAGGCAGAAAACTCAACCAGAAAATGGTTCAACCAGCAATAGCGGTAACGCTGCACCAGGCAGAGCTAAGAAAGAAAATATTCTCATTCATAAACATAAGCTTGAGTTAGGGCCACAAATCCCTCAGCTATTGACGGGGGAAATTGCTTTATATTAGAGCTTTCCCCACGGCCGGAGATGCCAGGAACCCCGTGTCCTGGCTCTGCCTAGAGAGCACGAGTCATGAAAATGCAGATCAGGGCAGGAGGCACCTTTAACCCTGCCCCAAACTCCCCAGTTTGCTGCAGTCTCCTCTGATGAGTTCAAAGGTTGTCTGTAAACACCAGGGGGGCTTTCGCCAGTGTTTTCAGCACAGGCTGAGCTGAAACACTGGCTCAATGTTTAAGGGTAAATCCATTTACTTCAGAAGAGCCCTTACTGGTGGCCATGCTTGAGACGAATATGCACGCATGAAAAGCAAAAAAGGCCATTGCAAAGATGTAAATTCAGTAAAAGATTTCAGCATACAGCAATCTTTACATCACTACAACAAAATATTATTGCCTTTGAGGCCACATATGGTTATTGGCCAGGCAGCTCTTGACATGGATTTGCAAGTCTGCCAAACATCTCCTTTAAGCCTTCAGCGCGACGGCAGCATTTTAGTTCCTTGTCAGATGTTACTGCAGGCAAGAACTCTCTGTGCAGCTTCTTATGAGTATTTCTTTACCAAAAGCAATCACATTTGGATAACCAAGAAGAACAATTTCTCATAAATAGGTTCAATCAGCCAAGACAGCAAGTATATCTGATGTGAGGACTTGCGGAATATCATCTTCAAGTACTCACCCAAACCAATAAAAGTGTTCATTAAAAAATTGATTATATATGCAAGGAACATCATGCACAGTATTAAAAGCTTGACTTAAAAAGCAGGGAATTCTTTACACAATGACCACTAATATGTATCTACACCTTCCTAAGGCCCTCTCTAGCCATAATTTGAAAACTTTAAAGACTAATGTTTGCTCCAATAAAACACATATGGCTGCACCTGAAGCTCCAAACAGTTCTCCTTCCAGCATAACTACCATTAGTGCCTAAATTACAGTACCTGGGGAGTTCCTTGTATTATCTGTGTCTAAAAGGAATTTATGATACTCCAGGTAGCTGTCCTGAGCAGACAAAGTTTGCCAGAGACTCCTGTGGACACATGGAAGCCTCAAATGTGGCTTTTAATATTTCTTTGCATGTGTGGGACAGCAGATTTAAAGCAGACCCTGGCAAGCTGCGCAGCAGCAAAGGCAGCTTCTAAAACCTTGCAAACCCAGCACTGCAGCCTCAAGTGTGTTCTTTATACTACGCTGACCTCCCAAACGCCGCACTTCGGCGGCAGGGCAAGCACAAGTCAACTTAACGCCTGAAAAACTGAAGTCTGGTGTCAAACTTATCTGATCCTGTATTTAACTTACCTGCTCTGCAGCTCAGCAAAGACCTGCTTCATCTTCTTAATGGAAGCGTCCATTTCCTCTTTCACCACCACGCGGTACCGGGCCAGCGAAACGGTGCAACGCTGCAGATCCTTCACTGATTTTTCAATATTTGAACCTGCAAAGATGGACAGAGAAAACTTTTATGAGTCATTTCGATCAGACTGTTAAACCTTCTTAGAAGGAGATGGCTTTGCCTTTGTAAAAACCAAAATGTGCCTCCTGCTTGGCTTTAAAACCTTCTTTCCTTCCCCATTATCCGTGAGGTGAAGCAGTGCTGGAGATTCTCCTAGGAGGGGAGGTTTTCCAGAGCTTGTCAACTTTCCTTCAATGGGCAGGGATATCTGCCCATATTTTCAGTCATATGGGAAAAATCAAATATATGTCCGAGCTGCTTTTGTACAAGGCACTGGAGACAGGCAAAGTCCCTTCCTAAGACCGACAAACCATAGTCCTGCATGACAGGAAACTTTTCTGGGTGAACATCTTTGGGAAATTTAAATCAAAATTTAATTAATTTAAAAATGAATTTACTGTTATTTCCAGTTATTGAAGAAATAACTGTACAAATGGTTATTTCCTCAAATTGAGAGATGGAAGGACTGATTACTTGCTATGGAGGCTGGGCTCCGGGTCCCAGCTCTCCAGAGGGGCACCTCACCTTGCCCGCACTCTTTGGAGCTGGCTGGAGAGCTGTCCCCTGCCAAGCTACAATAAAAGGTCCTTGCTACAGCTTTCCCATGCAGCAAGAAGTGAACTACCACCGCATCTCAGTAAACTATAACAACCGTGTTCACAACTGGGGTCTCTCAGGTCCTTCCTGTCCCCACTTGTTATCGTAAGAACGAAGCTGTGGAGAAAACGCATGAAAAGAGGAAAAAAAAATCCAGTAGAAAGAGGCTGTCACTTCTTGTAATGGGGCTGGTCAGAACTTTTGGCCTTTCGACAAATTCTCACAAAAGATGAGAAAACCTAAAGGCTCTGTGATGGAGCACCCAGAAGAATGGGCTAAACATATGCAGTGTGACTGACTGCTTCCTCCCCTCCTTCTCCAGCACAGGCAGCTTTGCTGCTCCAGGCGCTACATCTAAACTGCTGTCAAGATTCCTGCTGTGCAAAGAGAAGCGGAGGAGAAGAGTGCAAGTCACTGGCCGGATAATAAGAAGGGTGTTAACTCGCATTAAAATCAAAGTCCTGCACGCCTCACCAGCGGATGTGTCAGTGACCACAGAAGCAGCGGTGAGAACTCTGCCCGTAGCAACCTGCTCTGACGCTCAGCAGCGCACAGATCCTCGGGGTCTTACCTAACTTCTTGTTTGCAGGTGAAACGGGAACATCTTCCAGCCGTGTTATGGCCAAGGAAGCGGGAGTCGAGCCGCTTGCTGCTGCTCTGGCCATAGACCTGCTAGTGCTCCTCTGCTCAGGCCGCTGTCTGCGGGACGAGGGGCTCTGGGAAGGATGCATGATGAGCGATTTTGGGTCAAAGTCTGCTATTCCATTCTCTAGTTCAGGCACTGCTGTAGAAAAGCACACTTGTTTAAAGGGGAAAGCAAAGAAGTCAGCAGAACATTGACCACCTCTTCACCACAACAAGCAAAACCAAAAGATCAAGTTGTTCTTCTCTGGAGAACTAACCAAACAAATCCAGCCTCAAAGCTGGCACCAAACAAAGGAGCAACACGAAGGCTCCTTTGCTTTTTAAACGCTCGGTGTCCGTCTCCCGCAATACTTTTTATAAAGACTAACCTGTTCTCTCAGGCATGTCTGGCGCGGCAGATTCACAATCCTCCAGCTCCCTGGCATCAATTGAAAGTGCATCCAAACCTTCGCTGAGCGAGTCCACGGATTCCATGTCGTTGGCACAGCCGTTGACATGGTAACCGTTAATTCCACCCTTCTCCGCGTTGGCCGACTGCTCCTCTTCAGTGGACACCAATTTACTGGGGTCTGGGAGGCCAGGGCTCGATCCGGCTGGAGGTTTCGGCTTGCTTTTCTTCTTCTTGTTCTAAGAATTAAATACCCCCACCACAAAGGGGAAAGAAAATATATATTAAGTTTAAATCCTCAAGGGAAAACTAAGCTCATGCTTACTGACAGAAAGTAGCCAAATTAAATTCTTTTTTCGGACAGCCTTGGTGTTGCTCCTATTAACAGTAGGAGGAATTTATTTAATAATGAGGACAGATATAGTGGCATTAATGAAGTGCAAATACATTATCCCTCATGCCAGGGTGTCAACAGGACTAACCCACCAGGCTGTAGAAGACTGCAGTATAACTGGCAGAAAAAGCAGCTCTGTTTGGGGCTATATAGTTCTATACGTTGAGGTTACAGTCCTCCATAATTTAGGGAACTACGTAGGTCCCCCCCGAGAAGGGACAACTAGCGAGGTGCAGCTTTCAGTACCACGGTTGCTGCTCAACAACCCAAGAGTTTTCTAGATCTTACCGTAATAAAACTCCCCTCATGTTTCCCAATGGATTGATATTTAGTCAGAATTTTGGTACCTTATTTCCTCCTGGTATTTTTCAGGTACTCAAGAGAGCACAACTATGGTTTTATTTCCAACCTGACAGATTTAGATGTGGCAACATTAAGTACTGAAACTTTGCAAGTCGGTATTTAACCCTTTCATGGGGGTCTGAGCACAGCAGTAGGCAAAATGCAAACTAAAGCTAACATGACAGAGCACCATATTTCCACAGGGCTCAGCATTAAATGCAACTGTCCAGCTCCAAAGGTTACAATGAAAAATGGAACAGCATGACTACGGGAACAGTGAATTACAGCGCTCACTAGAAATAAACGGACCTGATAAAGATTTACTTCACTGTGGGGCTGGGGGATTAGGGGTCCTGCAGAGAGCCAAAAGAATAAAAGCTCTGGCAAGGAGAGGAAGGTTTTTCAGCGCCCTGCATTCAGCATAATAGACGTGACAACTAAATTAAATGCATACGTGGCAGGCTGATGTTTACAACTTGCACTGAAACTACCACGTAAATCACCGCCCTTAGCAGTGAGAAAGTTGACACCCTAGTGACAACCCCTAGGGTCACTTCTGCTTACATCAATACACACGCTTCTCTGTGGTTTCTTTGCTCGTTGGAATCAGGAGGAACGCCTGCTATTCTCTGTACTCTAACTTAACACTCCCTTGTCCTTTAAAAAGGAAAAGCAGCAAGATGATAAACACCCTTGGAGGGTATATTTTAAAGTATTACCTTTTTTTTGCCTGTAACAGTCCACTCTTTCAACACTTCACTGGCGTTGCCTGAAACAAAACGCAGCGATGAGTAGCGGATAAGGCACCGACTCCAGGTCTTCCCTGGTCATAACCAAATGTCTCCACGCCTGGAGCCAGCTGCGACTCTTCCTACACCCGAGTTTCTTTTCTCTTAGTTGATGCAACAGAAGGATGGGTTTTGTTTTTGCTTTGGGAACACGGTGCTGAGCAGGACTGCTCCCTTGCACCCCAGCTGCTTGCAGGAAGCAGCTCTGCTTTTGGCTCTGTCTCACTAAAGCTTCAGGTCCTTAGGAGGCTGCTAGGACATGCACGGCATTCAAAGGTTGTGCTCAGGTCAGATTTCTGCTGGCTCTGCCTCCCCAGAGACACCGATTGTATCGGGATGCCCAGAGGCTCCGGAATTGCTGTCATCCCTTCTAGGGGCCAGAGGCAAATGCAGTTGTCAGCGATGGTCAGCACGCAGATCAGACCAGCAAAGCGACAGGCAGTGTCACCTGCAACAGCCTGTTTTTCCAAACACACAAAATCCATCTAAATGCAGCATGAAAGCCAGGCCCAAGAGGAGATTTGCCAGGCAGGTTTCAAAGTACAAAGAACAACTATCACTGCTGAAGACAAGCCCATTTCTGCCCTCCCGCACATGGGTTTCTGTAACTGAGCACCCAACCTCTTTTATCTAAGGAACTATTAAGAACTTATTGCTGCCTTGAGCCCTGATGGAGTGACTAAGGCCATGGGAGGAGAGTATCTGCTAGGTGTCCTTCCCAAGAGGCTCTGTCCTCAGCTGTGCTGCAGCAAGAGCTTCTCTGCTACACGCCAAAAGTGCCCCAAGCCCTTTCTGCACCAACACTCCTGATTCAGAGGGAAGCTGGTAAGAACGGGAGGTACAACCGAGCTAGGCAGCGGGTGACGGCCAGTGGTGGTTACCTTCCATGAAGGCTTGCACTGTTTTGTCCACGCAGTTGTCAAAATGCTGCAGCACCAGCACAATCTCGTTGTTGCTCCTGTTGGGGACGATGGCGCGCACCGCGCTGATCTGGAGCGGGAGAGGGAAAAAAAGGAGAAGGTTTCACCGCGTGCATTATCCTAACAAGGATCCGCAGCAACGCTTCTGCAGTGAGAAGACAATAATAATAGTGAAACCCAGCCAACTGATCGCTTCCTTATGAAATGTTAATATGCCAAGACAATTTGACCTGACTAAAATTTGCTTTTGACAGAGCTACAGTTAAGGTCCCAGGCAGAAACGTATTTCATCTCGGGGAGCAGGCAGAGCTACAGAGCTCCCGAGCTGCTCAGTGGCAGGTCGTGAATTAAAGTCTCAGAAGACACATTTACCTTCTCCTTCATGTTTTCAAAGGTTCCTCCCTGGGCCATCACAGTGTTGGACTGCACATCAAAAATAAAGCCGGATGGATCTGCGGAGACAAACGAGAGGGAGGCGCTTTTCAGGAAGGGCCGTTTAGAAAGACGTGAAGCTGGAGGTCAGCGTCGCCGGCACACGGTTAGCAGAGGGTTATCGGCATTGAGGGGAAAACACGTCACGCCCGAACTTTGCTTAAGGAGCAGGTTTGTGTTTGACAAACGAGGGCGCTAGGAAATAATCGCGGTTTGCAGGGAGCTCAGGAGCGGTCGCGGGGCCTTCGAATCAGGGGGATTGTGGTTCCCTCCTGCCCCGCGAGCCGGGTTGAAGCAAGCGGCCAGCGCGCGGCACAGCCCAAACAAGGGCTGGTTTAGGCCTCAACGGGGCTGCTGGGGAACTTGAGGAAGAAAACTCCAGCAGCCAGCGCAGCGCTCATTCCTGTATGAATCTCAGGCCCAACACAGCGTAGCGAGCCCAGAAAAAGGAGGCAATAGTCGGCAGCACCAGCACCCGAGGCTGCTTAATTCCGGTCACACAGAGAAACGAGCAGCCTGATGAATGTGCTGAGGATTCAGCGCTCACGCTCCCCACCAGCTGCCGTCTCCACGGAAAGGCCCGTTTTCCAGAGGGGCTCCGCAAGGGAGCCGGGCAGCACCAGCAGGTCGGCTGCTTGCGAGCAAGCAAAGGGCGCCCACGTGCAGGGCCTGCATTTTCCCTGGAGCCCCCCTGGGAACAGCCACAAGCAAAAATTCGCACTTAGTTCTGCCTCCAAAGGTCCGAGCTGCCTAAATATGAGGTTTGCTACAGAACGGGGGCAAAGGGGTTCGTGGACGCATTTCATGACAACCGAGCAGCCCCCCAAAACTGCGTTGTGGCCACATTTGACTGCAGAAAATAAATCCTGTCCCCACCCAGAGCCACCTGAAGGGCTCCGGGGAGGTTTTGGGCACCCTAAAGCACCCTCAGCTTCAATCCTGACCCACTCAAGCCTTTTCAGGACCTTCGCATCCACACATGGGAATAAAGCAGCCCCTCCGGAGGTCACCGCCACGGGTCCCGGTGGTCCCCGGTGGCTTCGGGGCGCTGGCGGCTGCTCCTCTCCCCCTCGCCATTTCGAGACACGCCATCGACTTCCCCTGCTCGCAGACACTGATGTAGCATTTCAAGCGAGATGCCTCCCAACACCATGACAGGATCGTGAACATGATGGAAAGGTCAGGCTCTCAGCGAGGCCGCGGCCGAGCACTTCAATCCTTCCTTGCTGCGTCCTCGCCCGGCTCGGCCCCGTGAGCCCCATTTCCACAGGTTTCCAGAGCTCCCCCAAGTCTGTCGCCCACTTTCGTGTCTTTAATCTCGTAAATGGCTTTCAGGCTCACATCAGGGCAAGAATGAGTAACTTTGTGGGCAAAATCCTTATTGCAGAGCAGCCCCCACGGACTCAAGTGGCAGCAAAGATGAAGCTCAGCTCCCTCCGGAGCCCATTTACAGCCACTCAGTCCCATTCCTTCCCTGCAATCCAGCTGCACTTGCTATTGCAGAAGGCTGAGCTTTTCCACCCGCCACTCGGAGCTGCCTCTCCCACTTCCAGGCGCTTTTCCACAGCGCGGGTGTTCCCGGTGTTCGCCTGTTCAGTATGCGAGAACCGCGCACACCGGGAACAGGCAGCACCGTGCACACCCGCCACCGCTCACAGGCGTCATTAAAACAGCTACCAGCGCTCGGGGCTCTCGTGGCAGAGGCTACTTGCAGGAAGGGAGGGAATTTAAAACACTCATCGCCTCAACAGGCTCCCGACTCCTTCTTGGTTTGGGGAATCGGCATCTTCAGGGGAGAGAAAGGTGCCATAAAGGAGGCCTGGCATCAACGAGGCCACGGGGCATTTGGGGACTGATCCCTGGGGCATTAGCACAAGCAGCGCATGGTGCTACCCAGAGGATTCGAAGCAATCGCCTCCAGAGACGTCCACTGCATTAATTGCTTCTCTGTTCACAACCATGTCCTGCAGAACAGGACAACACAAATCCGCTCCTCACAAATCACTCACCTCGGGGCTTTGGTCCTGTTTATTGCACTGGTTCATACAGGTTTTCCTGGAGAGAAATACTGAAAACACCAGAGCTCATCCCACCAGAAGGGTCCTGCTGCTCGGCTGCTCCAGACCGCTCTTCACCAGCTCTGCAAATTATCCCTTTCTGCACAAAGCGGGTGCAGGAATCGCCCCCACAGAGCTAACAAATGTGGTTCTGCTTCCCAGGAAGCACCAAAGAGAAATACACCTTTGCATTCAACACCTAAACAAAGCCGGAATGGGAGTCACTATGTTTGTCCCCACGTCAAGCCAACCTGACTCCGGGCCAACTATTTTCATTTCATTCCTTTGAAACCAGCTCTCCCCTTGGCAGATGTTTGCAGTGACCATCTGCAAACACCGCTCCGGACGCCAGTAACTTGCAAACCTTTAACCACCCACTCTGCGTCATCCGTCAAACGCCACGGAAATCCTCAGATAACGTGGTGCTCGTGCAGGGGACACTTTCCAAGTTGGGAAGTGTCCTCCAGCAAAACAACCTGAACACTGTCTTTTCCAAAGAGACATAAAAAACCAAGAGCACCAGCAGCTCCTGCAGCAGCTCGATGACAGCAGGGACTCTGGTCCAACTGCTTTATGGAAGACAGGCTGCACGAGGAGATCCAGCTGGATCCATTTGCTGCAAGTGGAAAAATCTCTCTCCAAAGAGACGCCGGATGCCTCTTCCCATCCTGGTCAGGACTTGAGCAAGCAAATGACTTTGGGGATTTGGGCAGCATATATATGCTTAAAATTCAAGGCAATGAAGATTCGGTTAAACTGTGAAACATTTATAGACTCTGTGGCTTTTCAGGTCAATGGTAACTGCTTCGACTCTCCCAGGGATAGCGCAGAAAACCTCAGCTAATGTGGAATAAAGAGCTCTTAAAGAAATGGCACCTCGTTGCTCACTAAGAGCATCTCAAATTTGCTCTAATTATAAGAATTTTCACCTGTTTCTATACTGTAAGAATAACCAGACGTCCACTACTGCAGAGGTGAATGGACAGGAATTAATGTATCTTCCTAAGACAACATAAAGCAGCTAAAATATCTTTATTCTCTGAGGCTGTATTTACAGTAATGCTTTCACACTGAAGTGGGATAAAGCAAGTAAAAAGTAAACTGGCGTTAGAATTAATATTCCTAGACGCTCTACTGGTAATACCCTATTTCCCTACCTGCTCTCTGTGTCCTCCTCTTCCTCCAGAACCATCAAGACACATGAGTAGGAGCAAATGGTTAAGAAACCCAATCTGTGCCATTTCTGCCCATGCTCAAGACCCTGCTTGTGGCTTCAGCACAGTATTTTTTCTCTAAGAAAAGTCATTCACGGTCAAAACACCAAAGAATGACGCAGCTGCAGTATACACCAATGTCTGACACCACCTGCGTGCTCTCTCTCCTCATCCTCCACGCAAGCTTATCTGCGAGCCCAAATTTGACTTTTAATTTGATTTAACTTTTAATGAGGTTTAACTTTTTGCTCCTCTGCATAAACCTTTGGAGTAAAAAGTTACAGGTAACATTAACAGCTTTTCCTTAGGGACTCAACAGATACCAGCTCCAAATTCTCAGTTGCACAGTAGATCCCAAACAGTGTTGAGAATGGCAATTGTGGCAGGAAAAAAAGCCAGGATTTCCCCCCCAGGACCAGCTCCGTGTATGGCTTCTCCTGTGGATTCCTCTTGCAGTCTCTTCAAGGTGCATTTTGCTCCCACATTCCCACAGCTACAACAGGCTGCGCAGCGAAGCTCGCAGCAGCACCCGGGGGGCAAGTGCTTAATGGTTTAGCATTCAGGCTAACAGAGGTAGAAATCCAGCATTCTTTAAAAGAAAATAAAATCAATCAAAAATTAGACCGTACAAGCATTTCCATAAGGGTTACTAATTGCTCCGGATCATGTATGGATTTGGCTGTCAAAGGAGAGCTGGATCGGGCAGGTAGACACCATTTCTGTGCCAAAGCTGCTAGGGAAGAAAAGAAAAATCTACAGAGAACAAAAGCTCTTCTCTTCAGGCAGAGGGCATGGATTGTCAAATCCATTCGTGTTAAATTATTAATTAGTAGTTAGTTCAAATTAAAAAAGAAAACCATAGCTGTCAATCCCCGTCTTCCCCAGCACCACACAGGCGCATTTTGGAATTAATGTTCTGCACGCAACGAGGATGGTCTCTCCCTGAAATAAAGCTCCTTAATTCATGCCAAGCTTTGTCACTGAACACTTCTCAGGTGACAAAAAAAATAAAATAACGTATATAGAACAGAAAATAAAACTATACTGAGTATCTGAAGATTAAGCAAGGGAACAAGCTTCTTGCTAACTTAGGTTTGTTGCTCGCTGTACCTGGCTTGGAGGATTGAAATTAGCCCTGTTTGCATCGCAGCCCCACGGGAGGAGGACACAGCTGAGCTATCCAGCCTTGACTCAGGGCTCTGTTTCTTGACAGAAATGAGTTAAATGCATTTACCTCCAAAAACTCAACTACTAAAAATTGGAGGGTTCCCCCCTGGCTTCGAGGTCCAACTGTGAGAGATGCAAAATTAATAATATACAGAAATTAAGGCATTTGGAACCACCAGGCTAGACAATTACTAAAAACATTACCAAAGCCAACAGTCAGACAACCTCACCAGGACGGGGACCACAAGCAGCCGAGTGACATTAGCAACTCTGTGAGGAGTATGGCAAGAGCAATTAACTGCTTTCTTAATTGATAACTTTGGAATCAATAATGTTGTCTATTGGCATTTGACAACATCGCATTCGGATCTTACCTTTTGGATTTTGCTTTTTAGACATCTCAGCACGCTTGCTCCAAAGCCCAGCTCTAGAGAAGAGGGGGCAAAAGGGCCCTCGTCCTTGAATGCTGTAGCTGGCAGTTGTAACTCAGAACTTGTATCGCCTTCTATCGATGCAGGGAATGGCAGAGATCTCTTTGGGGATGGCAAAATCCCAGCTGAGAGGGTAAAGAGGGTCAGCAGTTGTCCGAATTAGGCTGAGATAATAGCAGGGCACTCGAGCTTCTTCTTCTGCAAAGCAACTTCTTGTCATGTAGCCCGAATGCAGCAGTCGGCGTTGGACTTCTCTGGTTCTAAAGCAGAAAACAACAATGTTTAAAGTCATTGCAGAATAACTAGCCAGAAAAAAAAAATGCAATATTGAATATAAAGCAACAAGATCCCTCAAGAATTCGTGATTTCAACAAGCTTAATTCAAAGCACTCGTAAGACATCCCAATTTAAGCATGCAAGCGTTAGGGCTAGGGAGGTTTATAACCCATCATAAAAAACATATTTAAACAAATACCAGCATTTACTAACGTCAGAACCACCACCCAAGGCGGCCCAAGAGCAGGTCCCTACACCAGGGCACAGCATTTATTATCCTGTGAGCTCTTACATCTCCTGTGTGTTCACATGAGGAGTATCCTAGAGAAAACACAATTCATTTGGCTGCCCAATCCTAAGAAAAATTTTAAAATTTCCTTTGTTTAGCCCAGCAGTGGACAAGATACCAACCTACCCGGCGAAGGCTGCGCCGGGGCCGCTTCTCCGGAGGTGGTAGCGTTCCCCCGAGGCGTTTTCCCTGCACTCGTGGTGTTCCTGGTTCAAGCAGCCAGCGAGAGCGGGGACGGCAGCCACCACATCTAGCAGGGTGACAGGTTAAACAAAGAACAACAGGAGCCACCACCGAGGAAACAATAGGGACCTCTCCGCCCCAGCAACCCTTCCGGCTCCCGCAACGGATCCGGCCCTCAGTTCAGAGCCGTGGTGGTAACCAAGTGTGAAAACACACACACACAAATGGGCAATTTCGACATGTAAAATAAGAGCAGCCCAAGAGGCACAAGATTATTTTAGTAATAGTTGGACTCTGTGTCCATTCCTAGCAAACCCCATGTGCTCATATACATTTAGAAAGAAATGCACGGCCGATTTGCGGACAAATAATTAGAAACTCCGCTCCCTTCCACCCTGATCTGGGCTTTGTCCAGCAATATTCTCAGGATTTGGTTTACAAGTCAGGGGAATGCAGCAATATAATGCAATATAACCACACACAACACTGCCCAGAGGCTCACAACACAACCCTAACAAGTGCATTTTGACTTAAAAATAGACATTTCCTATTATTAGTGTTTCCCTTTCTTAGCTACGCAGGAGTTCAAAACTTCCTTCTAACCAGGGATCCACATAATTCAAGCAGGAGACAGATCGAAGGGCTGAGCCCGAGTTAATACTCAAAATACACAGCTAATTTCCAAAAAACAAGGCAAAAAAAATTTTTTACCTGTAAATAGTCCTGATGTGGGAGGTGAGTACAAACTGTCACGTTGCTGCCTTCAGCGCTCAGCATTAACTGCCTTCATTCGTGAAACCACCTGAAAAAATAAGGTCACTCTGGTGGGAATTGTGTTCCAAGGCGCCTGGGATGCCCGGGAAAGCCGGAGGGTTTCACGAAGGGTTAAGCCAGGTTTGCACCGCGACGGAAACGTGGCTTGCGGGAAACCTGAAAATCCAGCCTGGATTTCGGGACAAACACCCACTTGCTCATGAGGAGGACAGCGCTCACACACAACCATGCGAGCATGCCACATTTAGCTAAGAAAATATAATAATAATAATAAGCCTTAGTATCCTCAATTTCATTTTTTAAATGCAGAAAAGCATTCTTTGATCCAGAACAGAGCAGGGAGACAGGTGGTTACTAACAAAGCTGCAACAGCAGCCCTGATAATTTGTGATCAGCTCCCATGAATTGCCTCCAACTTCAGCCGTGCGACAAAGATGGACTTATAAATCTTCTCTGGGGATAAACCCTTGCAAAGTAAATAATTACTGGGGCACTTTGTTCAGGTGAGGTTTAGAAATGAAGTTATCTGAAAAATCTCTAAATGCTTGAAAAATACTTAACCTTGGCCTCCCTAAAACACATCTTCGCCCACAGCAAATGAGGGAAATGAGTAGTTATTAAGTCTTAAGGGGCAAAAAAATAAAAAGAAAGTAACATCCAAAGAGGTCTGAATTATTCCTTAGCAAGCCCAGGTCTAGATCTGATATGTACAGAAGTGATAAGAGAAGATTTTCTTTTCTGAAGAAACACAACCTCTGATGAGGATGTAACAGCAAATCTCAGTTCCCTGATAATGGAATTAATGCTGCAATTTCATCCAATATTTCCTGTGATAAAAACATAGAGCCAGACGGTGAAAAGCAACTCTGTTTTTTTTTTGGGAGGAAAAGCTCAGAAAGTTGCATGAGTTCCATTTAACTGGGGCTCTTTCTCACAACTGCAGCATGAGCATCAGACAAAAAAAAAAAAATCTTGGACAGATCAGTGCAAGAGGGCTGTAAAAAAGCATGTTTTCTTGTAACAGAAATAGAAATTCCAGGACTAGTAAAATACCGAGGTTAGAGCAAGTTCAGGTAAATGAAATAAACTTGTTGTGGATGGGGAACGTTTTCAGATAAGGGCAATAAGTCTATATAATAAAATGCACCCTATATTTCACTCCATGCAGTAAAGCCAAGATAAAAATCAGGAGAGAAATGTTAAGAAACCCACCTGCAGGGTTAAAATATTACAATTATAACAGAATGGATTCGGGAACAAGCAAGGTTTTCCCTCTGGAAACCAGCTCCTTCTCCCCCCTCGGCCACCGATCTCTTCCTAGAGCCGCTGTTTAGTTCAGGCCAATTTTGTACGAGTTCCACTGGAAACGCCTTTTTTTGTGAAAAGTGCAAATATCAACACGTTCTATTTAAAAATGAAGGAAAAAAAAGTACAAAATTCTACAGATGCCAAATCAAAAGAAGAAGAGATCTGAAAACCACCAACCCATAGCTTGAGAATAGCCCAGAGAAGGGTCTAAACTGCCATTTCAGTAAACCTGGAGAAATTGATAGCTCCCTACTCAAAGGAAAATCAGGTGAACAGTGGGAATTTGGCCAGGATTTTCTCTCGGTCTGCAGCAGGTTTTGCTTTTGCTGGGCAACCTGAAGGTCTAAGGAATAATCCTGCTTCTCAGGAGGATTTTTTACCCCCGTCGCTTTGGGATTTCAGGCAGGGAACATCACCCCAGCCGCCGTAATTTCCACTGCTCGGCAGCAGCTGGCTAATTGGCTTTTGAGTTAAGAGTCCCTTACAAAGCTATTTTCATCTCGTGGCTCAGGCAGGTTAAGAACGAGTTTCCCTGAGCTCACACAATAGCGTTTCACTGGAATAAACCGCTCTATTTGTAATTTATAATCATTTGCAAATACAGATCCTGCTCGCGAGGCCCCAGGGCACCGAGGGCAGGGCTGGTACCTACAACACCGGCACCCACGCAAGAAGCCACCCTAGTTTTACACCAAAAAAAGGGGGGAAAAAAAAAGTAAAAATCATACTAGAAATTCTGGAGTGCATTTTATCTTTCCTCAGCCACATTTAGAGAAGGTGGTTTCAGATGGTCCCTGCACACGGGAGCCCAAAACACCCCCAAATTTGGGGAATCCTCCTGAATCTGGGGGGGAGGACGAGAGGCTCATACAGGGCCAACCTGTCACGCGGGTCTCCCAAAGTAGAATATCAATCCCCGAAATCCACGTTCACATAAAACGGCTTCTTTTTCTGCCCTAAACTACTCCCTTTACATTACTGGATAAAGGATCGTAAAATTGTGCAATAAAAAAAAGAAAATCTCATTTTAGGAATAAAAGGCCACTAGTTTCTCAGTATTACACTTTTTCTCCTCCAAGTATTTGCTCGTTTTTGTTATTTTGAGCAAGAATGAACTGAACGTTTAACTTGGGAGATAATTAGCTGTCTATATTCTGTTCAAATCCCCACATTTATTGCTCTTGCACCAAGTGCATTATGCAGAGCACGGCAGAGCATTAGCTATTCTCAAACACGGCACCTCTCGACGGCTAATTGGGCATCATTTTGCAGCACAAAGAGGTAAAACGAAGTATTTCACACGACAAAACAGTCCTGGGTCTATTGGGAGCCCGTAGCAGACCCCCTCGCAGGGGGTTTAGGGGGGACTTACACTGTCTAAACCGCCAGTTCAGACGGTTTTAAACACCCTTTTTGGGTTTTCTTCCCAGCGGGGCTACCTCTCTCCGATCGCACCACGTTTTGGACACACAATTTCTAAATAAGCAGGTCCTGGGAATTCCTGGCACTTCCCACGTGTTGCGAAACCCTGATGCAAAGACTCAGCTTGGGCTCCCGGTCATCCCTCCGTGCATCCAAAGGGCTCCAAGCTTCCCAAAAGCCTCCGCTATCCTTCCTAACAAGCCCTACTGCAAGACAACAGAATGTTGCTCTCAGTGGAGGCTCTTCCTGGGTAATTTCGCCTCCATCGCCACTACTTTCAAGTTGTCCATACCAGATTGCTGACCTGAAAGACATTTTCCTGTGACTCGTGACAAACTGCTTTGTATTTAAGAGTATAAAATACTTTAAATATTTAGAGTACAAAGGCCCACCCTTTTGGCTAGCTTTTACTTTTCATTGCATCTAGAAACCACCAGCTCTGGAAAAGAAAGGAGGAAAAATAATGGCAAATACATCAAAGGATGCTGCTTTTCATTGCCTCTCTTTAGGGAGTGAAAATCTTCATCTGCCCCAACTTGAATTAAACGGAGGTAAGAACAGTTTTACTGTAGTAAGCCTAGCTACTGGAAACGTTTTGTCCCTCTCAGAGTTTTCTTTGTCTACATTCAACCTCCAGGTCTGATATCCTGCCAAAAAGCTTGCAAATATTAATTTTTAAATATTTAAAAATAACAATTAAGGACAAGGAAAGCATGCAGTACCAATCCGTCCTCTTCCTGGAACAGGTCGTATCTTAAAGCTCCTTTGCCCAGAATGCAACAAGAATTTGCAGCAAAATAGCTCAGCAAATCCATAAAACATCCACATGCTCCTCAAAAAACAAGCTATAATTAAAAGAAATAACCCAGCACGTGAGGCAAGGAGCTTAGCCTGGTTAACCTTTAACTCCAATAACTTTAGGAGATATTTGTGCACTCGTAAATGCTGATATACAGCAGAACAGCTGCTGCGCTTGCATGCAACTTTCATATAGCTTTTGCCTGGGAGTTAACTTCTCTGCATCCACTTTTGCAGGCATTAGACACACAAAGGGGAAGGGTTTCCAGTTACTCTTGGCTCAAAAGCTACTTAATAAATAATTTTTAAGAGAGGGGGAAGATGAAGCTGTGCTGCTGTCAAAACACACATTTCCCTCCCCCAAAATTGCAAGGGATTTTGGTAGAAAGCATCCCTATCAGCACATGTCTTGCTGGAGAGGCTCTGCTTGCAAAAAATCACCCTCAAGGGAGGTTGTGAAGGAGCTCAGTGAGCACAAAAAGTTCAAGAATCTACATATGAAATATAGGTATTGGCCTCTTCCTGCTGCACCCTACAGGCCTCCTCCTGGCTAAATATTCCACCCAAAATGCCACAAAACCAGGCCTTTATCTCAGGCCGAATCCTGGGATCCTCACAGCTCCTGTAAGCAAATTCTTCCCAGAAGCAGCGGAATGCAAGGACAAAAGATTCAGCTGATCTGCTGAAGCAAAGGCCTCGTGCTCTGCAGCACCACGGGGCCCTTCTCCAAGAAGGATTTTGCAGAGGCCTCATTTTCCAATTCACGGCCTGCAGCAGGAAACTCAATAAGTGCAATCTGGTCCTTACAGAAAGCTCAAGAATCGAGAAAATAACCAGCTGCCTCCTTTGGGAAGTGGCAGAGGGAGATGCCCGCGGGAATTTCATCCATCGCACAAGGGCTGAAGCAGCAACACGACAACCTGCTCCAAGGGCCACTCGCTGCTTTGTGGGGGAATCAATGCCAAGTGGGAGCCCTTGGAGGCTCCCGTTGCTCCGGGATTACGGGATCACTAAAAGCATCCACGAAGGAGCATTTCACTTCGGGATCTTGCAGAAATCCTCCCCAAAGAGAGGAAAGACAATTTTGATGCTTTCCAGGATTGGTGCCAATGCAAGCACCAAATCCTGCTCTTATTCCTTACCTCTCTTCGCAGGGACCTCGATTTAGGCTTCGCCTATATGGTGAAGGGCACTTATGGCTTCTTGGCGCCAGCTTCTCTTGGGCGCTGCTTTAACCTCTGCCGGGAAGGGAACGCTGGCGTGGGGAACGCGAGTGGCACCGACGAGCGCCCACACACCGGAAAATCGGGAAGCAGGCAACGGATCCGCCTCCTTCCACGCTGCAGGGCCACCTTTCCAGGGAGAAAAACCTGAGGAAAGCAGGGGAAGAAATAAAAAGTGATGTTCTGAGGTGACCTGAACCCAGTAACTTATGGCACTTTAATGTACAGAGGCCCCAGCACAGGGAGGGGCGGGGGGGGCCCCATGGCCTCCAACCCCGCCCCCCCCAGACTCCCACAGCCCATTTCCCCCTCCCCCCTCCATATTCCTAAACGTTTCCCGGTATTCCCAGAGGCTGCAGGTTCCCACAGGGCACCCCCCGCGCCACAGGCCGCCCCCTCCCCAGGACCCCCTGCCCTGGCTGTGCCCCCCCCCGCCTCAGCCCCGGCTGTTTCCCCTCACCCCCCGCCCGGGCTGTCCCCCCGGCGCCGCCCCCGCACTCACGGGCCGCGGCGCTGAGGGCGGCCCCGTCCGTCCGCCCCGTCCCGCCCCTCGCCCTCACCTCGGGCCGCCGCGATGCACCGGGGAGGGGGGCGGCGGCCTCGGGCCCAGGAGGCGCCTCCGGGCGGCGCCAGCCAATAGGAGCCGCGACGGCCCGCCCGGCAGCCAATGGTGGCGCGCGGCGGCGGCGCCCCCGCCCACCCTCCTCGAGGGCACCGCGGAAGGTTGCCAATGAGAGCGCGCCTCTCTCCGCCTCCAACCAGTCAAAAGAGAGGCAAGGGGCAAGGCCGAGGATGCTGGCCAATGAGAGGGCAGAGTGGTGCCCCACCCATGGGCGCGCTCGTGGGGGAGGTGAGGCGTCAGCCAATGACTGCGCTGCCCAGTCAATGTCCGTGCGGAATGGGGCGTGGCCAAGGTCCGCCAAGGGCCAATCGGATCAAGAGCTGCAGAGGCCCCGCCTCCCCGCCATCGCGAGGGGCGGGGAGGTGGGAGCCGAACGTGGACGGAAACTACCGAGCGCACCCCGGAAAGAGACGAAGATGAGCGATGGGTGGCGGAGCTCGGAAGGTCACGGGTTCGCGGCCGCGCTGCGCCTCGGACCCTGTTCTCAACCCGCCGCTGCTCGGGAGCTGCCTTGCTCTGGCAGCGGCATCAGTTCGGCAGCGGGACCCTCTCCGCGAACCGGAGTGTCCTGGCAATGGGCAGTCTCCCAGACAGGGTGACCCTTGCCCTTGTGCAATGGTTTGCAGCATCTCCATGCGCTGGTTTGCAGGAGCTTCGGGCAGCACCTGGCACCTCTGCATATGCAATGTTTCTCACAAGCCCCCACACACCAGTTTGCAGAGCACGAGCCCTTGCAGTGGCTTGCATGAGCCTGGTGCAGCACTTTGCACAAGCCCCCACGCACAGATCTGCACTCGACGATTTGCAGAAACGCCTGCAAATCCCCATCCCCATCCGGCCGCAGAGCCACATTGCCCCGAGCACAAGAACCAGAGCAGTGGAGGAGGAAAGTTCGTGTTGGATCCCCTATACTGTGTCCTTAACAGCCCCCGGAGCGTCAGGCGGCCGCCGCGGCCCTCCTGGGCCACACGAGCACCTCGTAGGCCTCCTGCAGCTCGATGAAGCGCCGCTCGGCCTCCTCGGCACGGTGCCGGTTGTGGTCTGGGTGCCAAATCTTGACCAGCTCCCGGTAGCTCCTGTGCACATCCTCAGCGGAGGAGCCGGCAGAGAGGCCCAGCACCTGCGGGGAGTCAGGAGGGATGCATGGAGACTGTGGGGCGGAGGGCATGGAGCAGCCCCTGGGGTACCCCCCACCATTGCAATCTCCCGCTTGCACCCCCCTGGTTGCACTTCTCAGCGAGGGATGGGGGGCACAGACCAATCCTCGGGAAATGCCCCCTGGCTGCACCCTTTGCATTGAACCCCCAGCATGCAGGGTGGCAGCATGTATCGGTCCCCAGCAAGGCTCCCCATTTGCACCCCTTTGGTTGCACGCACCGGCTCCTGACATGCAGGCCAGGGAGTCCCCTCATTTTCACCCCTGCTGGTTGCACACTCCAGCTCTTTGATGCAGGATGGGGGGGCATAGATTGATCCCTGGGGAGTCCCACCCATTGCAATCTCCTGTTTGCATCCCTTAGTTTGCACCCCTGTGGCTGCATCCCCCTGGTTGCACCCCAGTTGCACCCCAGTCAACAAAGAGCTGGGGGTGCCAATTACCAGCCCCCCCAGGCTCCTGGCGCCCACCTCGTATGCCCGCTGCAGACGGGTGTCGGGGTTGTCGCCGCGGGCCCAGCGCAGGGCAGCGCCCGCGATGCCACACACGCTGCGGGTGAGCTGCAGCAGCGCGGCGCCGGCGCGGCCCAGCACGGCGCCCGCCAGCAGCGCGGCCAGCGCCACGTAGCCCAGCGCCAGGCGGCACAGGCGGCCGTGCAGCGCGGCCCGCGGCACTGCCGGGTCCTTGTAGCGCCGGTGCCGCTGCGCGGCCGCCGCAGCCGCCAGGCTCGTGGGCAGCACGCAGGCACCCGAGAGCAGCGCGGTGACGCTGGCGGCGGTCAGCACGGGCGCCGCGGCCACCGTCTGCTCACCCGCCGACGCCGCGAGCTGCACGCCCAGCGCGGCGCCCAGCGGCACCGCCGGCGCCCAGGGCAGGGCCAGCCCCGCCAGTGTCCCCACATAGGTCCCCGCCGCCAGCTGTGCGGCGAAGCGCCACGCGCTGCTGGGTGGCACGGTGCCGGCACGGTGCTGCTGCTGGCGCCGCCGGGCGCCGTTGGCCGCAGCCACCCAGGCGGGCAGCTGGGGCAGGTCGCAGAGCCAGCCGGCGCCGAAGCCACCCAGCGTCACGAGCCACAGCAGCGCGTGGCTGTCGCGGCCCAGGTAGACGTGGTGCAGCCCCAGGGGTCCCCCCAGCGCCCACAGCCCGTAGGCCACCAGCAGCCGCTTGGCCATGGGCGGGGGGTGCCCGGGCACCGGCGCCTGCTGCCTGCGGGGACACGGGGGCGGCTCAGGGGATGCTCGTGGGGAGGCTGTGTGCACAGACCAAGCCCCGCTTGCACACCCAGGGCTAGTGCATGCCCACCCACGCCTGGTGCATGCCCTCTCACAGCCCAGAGTGCCCCCGAGGACCAATGTGCACCCACCCAGGGCTGCTGCATGCCCACTGCACACCCAGGCCCAGTGCATGTCTGCCCAGCGTGCCCACCCAGGGCTCTGGCCTGCCCACCTGGGGCCCCAAGCGCCCAGCCCTAGCCCCGCATGCCCGCTCCGAGCCCCGCCTGGCCACCCAGGGACTCCCTTGCACATCTGGGGCTGGTTCCTGCCCGTCCCACAGCCCATGGTGCTCACCCCAGGCTGCTGCTTCCTTATTCGGACCCACCCTGGGCCGATGCTTCCTCACCCAGACCCCCACCCCAGGCTGGTGCTTCCTCCTCAGAACCCCCCCGGTCACACTCGAGGGGTGCCCCCCCACCCCCGCAGCCCTATGTGCCCATCCAGGGCTGTCGCACGCTCCCCCCCCCGCACCCACCTCGGCGGCCCGGAGCGCGGCCGCCCGCGCCGCTCCCTGCCCCGGGGCAGACTTTGCTCCGCGGTGGACGCGGCGCCGCCGGGACAAAGTGCGCGGGGTGCCCGGGGCGGCGGCGCCGGCTCCCCGCGGCCCCCGGGGCCGGGGCGGGGATGGGGGGGGGTTGCTGCAGACTCCCCCCCGCGCCCCGGCACGCGCCGGGCTCCCGGCCTGTTTGCGGAGCTGGCGCCTCCGTGTTTGCTCGGCTTAGCGGGAGCAGCCGCCAATTTGGGCTCATTCATTATTAACGGCCCCCGCAGCGCCTCGCCTGCCCACCCGCCCCTGGCACCGCGATGCTGATGGGGGGGAGGAAAAGCACCCCCTCTCCTGCCTGGGCTGCCCCTCTGCCCTGTGGTCTGTGGGGCAAGGGGGGGAGGCGAGCTGCCACCCTGGGGGACACCCCAACCCTGTCCCCCCCATGTATGCGGGGGTCCCACACCGGGACCGCCATTGCATGAGAGGGCTGGTCCCTCCCTGCCCAAGGGTCCCCACCCCACATCCTCAATGCTCAACGGGTCTCCAGCCCATCCCTCCAGTGCATGGAGTGTGTGTGGGGGGGTCTCCATCTTGTTCTTCACACACAAGGGCTCCAGCAGCCCCCCCAGCCCCAGTTGCAGCCCCTAGTCTGGCTCTGCTTGAAGTGGAGCGTGAGGAAGATGCAATGGAGCGAATTCCTAAATCCATGGCCGCTGGGGGATGCAGCCGGGCCCCTGGGCTGGGAGCCCCCAAGGACCGCACTGGGGCGGGTGGTGGTGGTGATGGGCAGTCGGACACTGCTGGCTGCTCCCCAGGGTCCCGCTGCCTGTCAGGGTGTCCAGCTGACAGTGCTGCCCCCCCAGCCCGGCTGCCTCCTGACAGCGCGGCCAACCCCACGCTTGGCTGGCGCCGAATGTGCCCCGCGTGCCCCCCCTGCCACAGCCAGGGGAGACTGGAGGGGGGGTCCTGCCAGCACCATCCACCCACTGGCATCCGCTCTGGAAAATGGGCACCATTGCCTCCACAAGCACAGGAGCCGGGCCTGGCTGCACGCTTCCCCTCAGGGGGGTCTTGGGACACCCCAGAGCCCCTGGTTGAGGGCGTAATTGGAGCCATTGATCAGCCCCGGCCACCAGCGTTTAAGGCATCGATTTTCGGCGCCTTCCTGCTAATTGGAGCATTTGTCACTGACTGGTTGCACGGGGCGTCCTGGGCCCGCACAAGGACCCCCCAGGCCCACCCAATGGAGCCACAGGGAACACAACATGGAATGCAATGCACACACTTGTTGTGGTGCTCATGTGCTGCAATGCACACGCTTGTGGCAGTGCACATGTGTATTGCAATGCACATGTATGTCGATGCACATACATGTTGCAATGCACATGTGTCACAATGCAAATGCATGATGAAGTGCCCACATGTGCTGCAGCATGCATGCATGTTGTAATGCACAAAGGTATCAGAACAAATATGCATGTTGCAATGCACACATGTCACAGGGCTGGCGCTTGTTGCAATGTACATGCATGTTGCAATGCTCATGTGCTGCAATGCACATGTGTGTTGCTGCATACACGCATGTTGCAATGCACACCTATGTTGCAATGCAAATGTATGTACAGGGGGCTGCATCCAGCCCCACCAGCCCGGGCCGTGCACGACTGCCCTGCACACACACACACCTTGGCATGCACGGCTGCACCGCTCACATACACACGCGTGCACCAGGGCTTGAAAAAACCCTACAGGGTTGGTTAAAGGAATCCGGCGCCTGATCCTGAATGTCACGTTGCCTTGTCAGTTTGCTGGTAATTAATGCAAACTCCGGGGCCGGAGTCCCTCCGGACTCGTACATCACTGCCAGCGCCGGGCTGCAGAGCAGCCCCTTTACCCAAGTGCTGTTATTAGGGGAATTTTATATGTATTAGCTGTTGATGCACATTAATACATTAAAAATGTCAGCGGTGGAGGCCAGCTAATTGTCTGATTTAAATGTCTATTTGTCAGCGCACGGCTCAGGTAGGCATGAGGTGAATGGACAATGAGTCCAGGGCGGCGCAGGGCTGGGCGGTGCAGGGGGCCGGGGGTGCAGTGGGGGCCGGGGACCCTGTGCTGGCCGCCCACCCCACAGCCACTGCATGGATCTCTGCGCCTGACGTCCCCTGAATCCTTAATAAATGCCGCCCAGGCAGGGAATTAATGCGGGCCGGGCGGCAGCCATGCGGCGCGGCGCGCGCCAGCAGCCGTGATGGACGGCCCTGCGCGCTGCTGGGGGGGCTGTAAATCCCTGCCGGGAAGCCCGGGCCGTCCCCAGGTCCCTCGACGGCGGTGACAGCCCGTCATCGAGGTCCCTCTCAGCCCCCGGCGCGGCCCCCCGTGTCTGAGACCCGACAGCTCGTCACAGCAGTGGCCCTGCGCCCAGCGGGTGTCTGCGTGGTGCTGGCAGCTGCCTGTCATAGCAGAGTCTGTCGATACTTCACACGGGCCAGGAGCACGGGGAGGTCTCAGTGCCGGGAATGGGGATTTTGCACCACAGCTACCAGAGCACTGGGCTCAGCTCGGTTGTGGGCAGGGGCTCTGCACTGAGCCCAAGCCGACAATGGAAAACTCATGACACTGATGGATCATGCTGAGGGCCACAGTGCTCAACGAGGGGGAGCAGGGGCAGCATCCACAGTCCCAGATCTTCCCAAAATGCTGGCAGTGAATGGATTAGGACACTGGAAAGCAGTTGCACAGCAGCAGGGAGACAGTTCCAGAGCCCCTGCTTGGACTCACCCTGGTCCCGCCAATAACCTCCAGCCACCTCCTAGCCAATTAGCACCAATTAGCAAGCACTGGGCATGGTACCAATGCCAGAGATGAAGATGCAGGCTGTAGATGGGATGCCTGCCGAGGACCGGAGGAACACAGGAGATGGGATGCATGTGTCAGGGACGGGATGCACGTGCGATCACCCTGTCCCCATCGTCACCACCCTGGTGGCTTTTTCCACCCCCAAGCACATGGGGCTGAGGGCTCGTGGGGTCCCAGCAGCGGGCGGTGCAGCGAACCATGACTCCAGCAATGCCACAGGCTCGATTATGCCAACAAATGTGTTCCCGGCCACGCTCCGTCGTCCCCGCAGCCCAGGCTGCTCCTTCCAATCAAGCAGGGGGGCTCGTGCTCCCGGGGGAGCACTGCCCCACGTTGCAGCCCCATTAAACCTCTTCCCCTCCGCCCCCCGCTCCGATGGGCTGTTGTTTTATTGTCGCCGCTCAAGGACAATTTTCATCCAATTGAGCCTGGCCTGGGGGCCCAGCTTGATTGCAAACATGCCCTGGATGGAGTACGCAGCGCCCGGGCGCCTCCAGCCCATCGATATTCATTTGCAGCCGGTCCCTCCCGACCGCGGGCGCTGACGGGCCCATTTGTCTGCAGGCCCCGGTGCTGCGCAGTAATTGGGAGGGAAGCACTTGGCTGCCCAGGGCGTGGGGTGTGCGCGGGCACAGGGCACACACCGGGCGCAGGGCATGCATGGGCACAAGCGTGTGTGCAGCCAGCACAGTGGCACATCCTCAAGGCCACCGAGGCACATTCCTTCTTGTCACCTGCCCATGTAGCAGGACAGATGCTCCCCAAGCACCCTGGGTGTCCCCATGAGCAGTCGTGTGGGTTCCGCTCCCTGCTGTGGGGTGTTGCTCCAGCTCCCTGTGTTATCTATCCGTGAGGGGAGGGGCTGTTGCATTATTGCCCCCCAGGCCTGGCTCTGTCCCATCCCGCGGTGCCCCTGCCCCCATCGCGGCCAACACGCAGTCAGAGCCCGGGATCCCCTGAATCCTTCCCGGGGGGAGCAAAGGGCCGCGGAGCGGTCACAGCCCGGCCGAGCCCGCAGCACCGCGGGAGGGGCCAGGAGCACAGGATGCAGCCCCCCTTGCCCCCAGCCCTGCCACTCGCTGCTCGTCTCGCCGGGACTGACCTTTCCCGCCGCCGCAGCCTCTATTTTTACCAGCCACGTTTGCTCCGCGCTGCCCCCCCCGCTTCGGCGGCGCTGCCCCTCCGGCCCGGCCCTGGTTACGGCCCCGCAAATCCGTGCCGGGACGCCTGGACCCCGAAGGGGCGGGCGCAGAGGGACGGGGAGCACCGTTCATTATCGCTCGGGACTTCCCCGCTCCGCCCCGCTAATTAATGGCCCTCGCTAATTAATGGCCCTGGCGCTCACTCGGCCCCGCCAGCTTGGCCGCCGCGGGAGGGAAGCAAACGAGGGGCGCCGCGGCCGCCGCGATTTGTTGCACAAGCATTGTCGTTTGCTTCCCCAGTTTGCATTGATCCTCCCGCCAAAAGGGCCATAAATCCATCTAATATCGCAGCTGATTGATTAGCGCGGTTGAGGAGCCCATCGGGCTGCACATCCAGCAGTGCACAGACA